ATCTTTTAAAAAGATTTTATTTATTTATTCATGATACACACACACACACACAGAGAGACATACACACGGCAAAGTGAGAAGCAGGATCCATGCAAGGAGCCCAATGCAGGACTCAATCCCAGATCCCAGGATCACACCCTGAGCCAAAGGCAGACGCTCAACTGCTGAGCCACCCAGGCATCTCAAAATGAAATCTTTAAAAAAAAAAAAAAAAAGGCAAAAATAAACTATTGGGATTATATCAAAATACAAAGCTTTTGCACAGGGACACCTGCTTGGCTCAGTCGGTGGAGCTGGAGCATGCAACTCTTGATTTTGGGGGTTTTGAGTTCGAGCCCCACGCTGGGTAGAGATCACTTAACAAAATAAAATCTTTAAAAAAAGCTTTTACCAAAAAAAAAAAAAAAAAAAAAAGCTTTTACACAGTGAAAAATGAAACAAAACAAAAAGATAATCTACTGACTGGGAGAAGATATTTACTAGTGACATATCCAACAGGAATAATATCTGAAATATATAAAGAACTTCTACAACTCAACACCAAAAAACCTACAAATAATCCAATTAAAAATGGGCAGAGAACCTGTAGACATTTTCCCAAAGACATATAAAAGGATAGGGTGCCTGAGTGGATCAGTTGGTTAAGCATCCAACTCTTGATCTCAGCTCAGGTCTTGGTCTCAGGGTTGTGAGTCCAAGCCCCACACTTAGCCCAAGCCCACTTAAAAAGAAAAAGAAAAATGGCCAACAGACACATGAAAAGGTGCTCAACATCACTAATCATTGGGGAAATGCAAATCAAAAACACAAGTTATCACCCCATACCTGTAAGAATGTCTAAAATAAAAATGGTGAGCGATAACAACTGTTGGCAAGAATGTGGCAAAAAGGAACCGCTTTCTTTTTTAAAGATTTTATTTATTTATTTATTTACTTACTTATTTAACACAGAGAGAAAAAGAAAGAATATGAGGGGGGATCAGCAAGGAGAGAGGGCAGGCTCCTTGCTGAGCCGGGCACCTGCTGCAGGACTCAATCCCAAGACCCTGGGACCATGACCCCTGCCAAAGGCAGATGCTCAACCAACTGAGTCACCCACGTGCCCCCAAAAGGAAACTCTTGTGCACTGCTGGTGGGAATGCAAACTGGTGCAGCCACTACAGAAAACAGGATTGTTTGAAGTTCCTCAAAAAACAAAAAATAGAAATGCCATATGATCCAGTAATTTCACTACAGGGTATTTGCCCAAGGAAAATGAAAACACTAATTTGAAAAGATATATGCACCCCTATGTTTATTGCAGCATTATTTACAGTAGCCAAAATATGAAAGCAGCCCAAGTGTCCATCCATAGATGAATGGATAAAAAAGTAATATATATGTACAATGGAATATTACTCAGACACAAAAAAAGAAAGAGATCTTGACATTTGTGACAACATGGATGACCTAGAGGGTATTATGCTAAGTGAAATAAGTGTACAAAGACAAAAACCATATGATTTGACTTATATGTGAAATCTAAAAAACAAAGAACACAATAAACAAAAAGCAGTAAGAGACTAATAAATACAGAGAATAAACTGATGGTTGGCAGAGTGGAGGGAAGGGGGGATTGACAGACTGAGTGAAAGGAAGTAGGAGATACAGGCTTCCAGCTATGGAAGAAATACAGGAATAAAAGAGGATCAAAAGTACAGCATAGGGGGTGCCTGAGTGGCTCAGTCGGTTAAGCTTCCTGACTCTTGACCTCAGCTCAGGTCTTGATCTCAGGGTTGTGGGTTCAAGCCCCAGGTCAAGCTCCATGCTGGGCATGGAGCCTACTTAAAAAAAAAAAAAAAAAAAAAAAGACAGCTTAGGAAATATAGTCAATGGTATTATAATAGTTATATGGTAACAGATGGTAGCTACACTTGTGGTGAGCATGGCATAATGCACAGAAGTAGAGAATCAGGTTGTACACTTGAAACTAATGTAACTGTGTCAATTATACTTCAATAAAAAAAATAAGTGAACACACATGAAAATAAACTGAATCTGAATTCTCTCCAAATTAAATATATGTAACATTATTCAACTAAGAATGCCACTATATTTTGAACCAGGCAAGTTGATTCTAAAGTTCATATGGGGGATCCCTGGGTGGCGCAGCGGTTTAGCGCCTGCCTGTGGCCCAGGGCGCGATCCTGGAGACCCGGAATCGAATCCCACGTCGGGCTCCCGGTGCATGGAGCCTGCTTCTCCCTCTGCCTGTGTCTCTGCCTCTCTCTCTCTCTCTCTGTGTGATTATCATAAATAAATAAAAATTTTAAAAAAAAGTTCAAAAAAATAATTAAAAAAAAATAAAGTTCATATGGAAAAACTAGAGTAAAATCAGTCAGGAAAATGCTGTCAGTAAATGGTGACCACAATGAGTATCAAATAATGCTTGTTATAAATCTACCGTTACTAAAGCAATGTGGTGGTAGTGTTTAAATAGATTAATGCAATAGAATAAAGAGTCAAAAAAAAAAAAAAGTCAACAACAGATCCAAATACACCTGGGGATTATTTCATGCAAAGAAAAATCTTGAGCGCTTTTCGCCAGGCACGGGACAGGTAGGTATGAACAAATACACGGACCTTGTCCTTATGAAGCTAGCACAGTGTCATATAATGTAAAGGTGTGTTTCAAATTAGTAGGGGGGAAAACTGAAAAAACTAATTTGTGTTAGTCTAACTGACACGCTGAGGGTGGAAGGCAGCCTAGATGTATACTTAGATGGAACTTTCACTAAAATGCTATTTCTGGGGACGCCTGGCTGGCTCTGCAGTTGAGCATCTGTCTTCAGCTCAGGGGGTGATCCCAGGGTGCTGGGATCGAGTCCCACATCAGGCTCCCTAGCCTGCTTCTCCCTCTGCCTTTGTCTCTGTCTCTGTCACTCATGAATAAATAAATAAAATATTTTTAAAAATTTAAAAAGCTGCTATTTCTGTATTTATTTGATGAACACTTGAAAACAAAGTCATGAAGAATTAAAAGAAAACTTCGAAGACTTAATTTTTTAGTACACTGGAGTAGGGAAATCTTTTCTAGAAAAAATAAGGGGGGGGGACTATAAAACAAAAAAACCCAGTCATTTAACTATCTTAAAAAGTTTTTTTAATTGCATAAATTACATAAGTATCAAATTGCACATGGGTAAATAGAGGAAAACATTTGCAACATATGATCCATACTGCTATTTTTTTTTTTTAACAAAAAACAATTGACAAATGAATAAGAAAACAGACAATACATGGGGCGCCTGGCTGGCTCAATTGGTGGAGCAGGCTAGGCTACTCTTGACCTCAGGGTTGTGCATTCAAGCCCCATGTTGGCAACAGTGATTACAGGGGCGTGGGGAGGTAGAAAATAGACAATATAATGGGAACAAGTGTTCCTTTTTTTAAAAAAAATTTTTTATTTATTTATTCATGAGAGAGAGGCAGAGACATAGGCAAAGGGAGAAGCAGGGTTGCTGCAAGGAGCCTGATGCAGGACTCATCCCAGGACCCCAGGATCATGACCTGAGCCAAAGGCAAATGCTCAAACACTGAGCCACCCAGGCACCCTAGGGAACAAGTGTTACATCCATCTACTGGCAAAGATGAAAAAGCCTGCCATTTACAATGTTGGTGAAGATGTAGAAAAACAAGGGTTCTCATACACTATGGGGCCCAGAGACAGAAGCAGTCTGGGCCCCTTTTGGGAGGGAACTTTGCAATAGGTATCAAATTATACATTAACAGACCCTTTGCAGAAACAGAAAATAAGCCAAGCTAATTAATAATACATGTATAACTCCAGAGTAAACTAAATTTTAACTCAGGGGTGTCCAAACTTTTTTAGTATGTAAAATAATTTATTAGAATTCACACCCAAAACATTTAGATATTTATAAATGATATTATACAGGCGAGCAAACTGAAACCTACGTTTTAACACATTCCCCAAAAGAAGTCAAAGTAGCCTGAAGTTTATTCAGGTCAATAAATTCTGGCCTGAATTTATCAGCAAATTTGGCCTGACCGGACAGGAGGCTATTCATAGCCTTTATTATTACAGTCAGTGTGAATATTTGAACATTCATATTTCATTGTGGTTAATTCTGGATGCTGCCTCCATCACCCCCACACCAAGTGAGGTATTAGGTAAGGTATGGCTATGTACACATGGACGTGAACACGAACACTTCTGAATTTTGAAATCCAACAGGTTGCTAGGGTTTTGAATAAAGGACTGTGGACTTGCATAACCTTTCCCTGAAGACAGGCACACAGGTGATAATAAGTACTTGTTGAACAACCGCAATCCGATTCATTCTTCGTGGCCAGCAGTTAGCAGCCTGTGAAGCCTATGAAGGTGTTGAGGCTACTCCCCGTGTGCTGGGAGCCACAGACAGCTATTTGAATTCTTCTGCCCGTTTTTTATAGTTTTTGTTTGCTTTTGTTAATCTTCTATCTTTGTTGAGAAAGGTCACCAACTGTAAATTCTGGGATTAGTGATATTCCTACCCACGGCAGCTCCTTCTTCCTTTCTGTGGCCTTAGAAGAGCTAAGCACGTATACAGTCAATAAAAGTGGCTCTGAAGGAGGTCTTTACAGACTGCCTTGAGTCCATGGGTACACTTTGTGACTCCTGTTTTGGCTGCTTAATGGGCCTACTTCCTGGTTCTCACTGTTCAGAAAGATAGAAGTTTTCAGATCACCAGAAAGACATATTATTGTAGTATAATAAGCTCTAGAAAAGTAATCTCCCTGAGGGCAAGAGGTTTGCTCTGTTTTGCCCTGGGCTGAAGCCTAGAACAATAAATATTTAACGAAGGAAGAAGTACTTTGAGGGAGAACTTTTACCTCTGACAGCTGCAGAAGATCCTTATCTGTTAAGGAAATCCTGGATATAGGCAGATGGTTTCTTTTGTTTTTTTTTTTTTTTTTTTTAGATTTTATTTATTCATCAGAGACACAGAGAGAGGCAGAGACACAGGCAGAGGGACATAGACAGGCTCCATGCACTGGGAGCCCGACGTGGGACTCGATCCCGGGTCTCCAGGATCGCGCCCTGGGCCAAAGGCAGGCGCCAAACCGCTGCACCACCCAGGGATCCCGGCAGGTATTTTTAAATGTGGGAATGATAGGCAGATGAAGGAAGATACTACCTTTTAATGATATTATTCAGAGATAATTAGTAAGGATGAGGGAGAAACCACCAGTATCAGCAACTTATGAGCCTTTACTCCCAGACATAAGGGAAAGTAATATTTTAAAACAAATGTCACTTAAAAGGTCTAAACTCAGAGCACTCCTCCATCATGGCTAAAATGAATGTATTCTACACCCTGTAAGTGCCTTAAAGTTCCTCCATGCCTGAAAGCAGTGAGGACGCCCGGGGAGCACCGCGGGGTTTACACGGTTTATAGTTCTGAACCCCAGGGAGGGTGCGGCTCGAAAGGAACTGAAATCGGGGAGAGGGCTTGGGGGGGGGGTGTAGGGGGACCAGTAAGATCTGTGCAAGCGCCCCCAAAGCGATACCGGAACAAAGTTGCCAAAATCGATGTCTATGATGCGCTGTTGCATCAAACTCAAGGGCTTTCGGGGGCTGTGGGGTGGAAGGGGCAAGATTCCAAGGAGGCAGGGACGTTCAGGAGGTGTCAGTGGAAATGAGAAGTGTTAGGTAAGGCAGAGGAGCCCGCCTGGAGAAAAGGCCGTGCGAAAATTCGGCCTAGGTCGGAGCTCTGGAGACCCTGCCGGGCGGGTGCAAAGACAGAAAGTAAGCGTGGGTGGAATCCGGAGGGACTAAAGGACTGAGGAATCCCAAAAGGTGCGGCTGGCTCGGCATCTGCAAGGCCGGGCCGCGCCGGGCCGGGCCTGGGCGCGGAGAAGGCGCGCAGAGGGAAGACTGGGCCGCACCACCCAGCACCCAGGGGACCAGCCACGTTCCTACCGATTTGCGCGCGTCCGGCCGCAGGTCCTGGAAGTCGGCGCCGTAGATGGCCTCCAGAGCCTGCAGCTCGTGCTCCTGCCGCTGCGGGTAGCTCTCCGGAGGCTCGTCCCGGCCGCGCCCGGGGGCCCCACGGCCCCCAGCCATGGCGACGCGGTGGCCCAGGCCGGGCGGCCTTGCTGTGGCGGTGGTGGGCACCCGGCGGGCTCGGGGGCAGGGCTTCACTCTCCAGTCCGGCCCGTGGGCGGGGCTCCGCGCCGGGGGCGGGGCCGGGGGCGGGGCTGCGTGCGCGCCGGGGGCAGGACTCCGCTCTCCAGACCGGCCCGTGGGCGGGGCTCCGCGCCGGGGGCGGGGGCGGGGCTGCGTGCGCGCGGGGGGCGGGCTCCGGGGCAGGACTCCGCTCTCCAGACCGGCCTGCGGGCGGGGCTCCGCGCCGTGGGCGGGGCCGGGGGCGGGGCTGCGTGCTCGCCGGGGGCGGGCTCCGGGGGCAGGACTCCGCTCTCCAGACCGGCCTGTGGGCGGGGCTCCGCGCCGGGGGCGGGGCCGGGGGCGGAGCTGACCGCCTTGACTAGGCTCCTGCGGCGGGACAACCTGGGCCTGGAGGGAGGAAGCAAGGAATGAGGCTGCTGTCTGGCTTTGCCTACTTACTGCAGGAGAGCTAGAGCAAAGAAATCTGCTGGAACGTGGGAAATTAAATCAGTCAAAATTATTTACGCCAGCTGTTTTCACGAAATGCCTGGAACTTCTTTACCCCAGCACAGGTAGTAAGAGGGAACTCAAAGGGAAGACTTTGATGCGTTTTCAGGTCGCTTAGGGTCTAACCTTGAAACTTCCCACAAGACTACTAGGAAAAAAGATTGTGACCTTTACTCCCCGTCCCCACAGCTTTGTGCCCCCAAACTCATCCCCTTAAGGATGGATTGAACTACCGTTTGTCCCTACCTCCCACCTTTAAGAGTCTCCATTATCAGCATGCAATTTCAACTGAAAAATGTCTTTTCTTCAGGCATCTTTATGAGCTACTAATGAAGGATGGTTGGAAGAAAGGCAAGCAGAGACAAGGGGCCCCTGCCCTCAAAGGAAACCACCCTTAAAAGGATTTTACACCACTCTGGAAGGAGCCCTCCACCTTTCCCACGTGGTAGGTAGATGACAAAAGCCTGATTGGGTGATAGGTGCAGGGAGGGTTAATCAGCTTAGAACAGCCCCCACCTACAAGCCCATAAAAACCCCTTGATCTAGGGACACCTTGGTGGTTCAGCAGTTAAGCCTCTGCCTTTGGCTCAGGGCATGTGGTGAAGGATTTTAAAGATTGGAGTGATACCATATTTGTGATTTAGTAACTACTCTGGTTGCAATAGGAAACATGGCTTTGAGTGGATTAAGAATGAAGATAGTGACTGTTTTTTGAGCTGTTAAAGTCATCCAGGGAAGAAATGATTGTAGTCTGAATCAAGTTAGTGGTAATGGGATGGAGTGAAGTGGATAGATTGAAGAAATGGACTACGTGATGTGGAAGTCGAGAGAAAAGGAACCCCAAATTCCACTTCACTGGCTTGGGCCAATGTGGGCAGAGTAGCACCGTTCACCTAGATAGAGATCACTGTAAAAAGAATGGATCCCAGTGAAAGCAAAAGAAAATGGTTTGAAGAGGCCTTGGATCAAACAAGTGCACTTGTGTTATCACATTATCTGGGCCAGATATTTGTGTTATTTGGGCCAGAACTGAGTGAATAGATGGCAGCAAGTTACTTAAGTGATTATAACTTAGCACACAGTATAGGGGTAGGAAAGATAGATGAAGGAAATGTCACTTGAAAAGTATGCTTGGGGACGCCTGGGTGGCTCAGCGGTTGAGCGTCTGCCTTTGGCCCAGGGTGTGATCCTGGAGTCGCAGGATCAAGTCCTGTGTCGGGCTCTCTGCATGGAGCCTGCCCCTCTCTCTGTGTCTTTCATGAGTAAATAGATAAAATTTTTTAAAAAAGAAAAAAAAAAGTATGCTCTGAGGCAGAATTATAACAAAGACCTCCTAAATTCACACTAAGTAAACTGGACATGGAACATAATTCTCTTCATGGAAAGGTAGTGTAACAGGATTTCCTCTCCTTCAGTGCCCCACCTTGGTCACACCACTTGGAAGAATGAAGAGTAGACCAGATGAAGAGTGGGTGGGCAGCAAAACAACATCTATTGCACAGTAGTACAAAGCTCCCTAAGAGGGAGGGGACCAGAGAGGGTTGCTGATTTGGCTTTAGATCTAGGGTTTGTTTTTTTTTTTAAAGATTTATTTATTTAAAAAAAAAAAGATTTATTTATTTATTCATGAGAGACAGACACACACACAGAGAGGCAGAGACATAGGCAGAGGGAGAAGCAGGCTCCTCGCAGGGAGCCTGATGCAGGACTCTACCACCAGAACGACATCACACCCTGAGCGGAGGGCAGACACTTAATCGTTGAGCTACCCAGGTGTCCCTCCATTGCCCTTTATTTAAAAACTACAGAAAATTTGAAACGTATATCAAAGTAGAAGAAATATTATAATAAACCCTCAGTACTTAGAGTCCCTGGGTGGCTTAGTCAGTAGAGTATCTGACTCCGGATCTCAGGGTGGTGAGTTGAAGCCCCACATTGGGCATGGAGCCTACTTAAAAATAAACAAATAAATAAATACAAATAAATAAATCCTCCTATACTCATTATCCAACTTCAACAGTTATAGATATCTTGCCAGTCTTTTATTTCATTTCTCACCCTCCACCCTACCTCCCTAGGAAAGAATCTCAAAGAATCTCAAACATCATTTTTTTTCGGTAAATACTTAAGTATCTATCTCTAATAGGCAAAAACTTTTCACAGATATAATAGCTTAAAAAATGTAACAATTGTTCAATATCATTTAATACCCATCTGTATTCAAAATTCAACATTTGTCTTAAATTAGAATCTGTATTGGGGGTTCGGCCCAGCCATTCTCCCAGGCGCCCAGGTCCGGTGTGCGCCTGTGTGAGCGCGCCTGTGCCCTGGGGCCGCTGCAACCGGAGGAGAGCGGCTGCCTCAGGAGGACCCCTTTCCCCCCAGAAATTACTCAATGCTGAAACCTTTCAAAGTGATATTCGAGGCGCTGGAAGCACCATGGATGGGTTTTATGATCAGCAAGTTCCTTTTATGGTCCCAGGGAAATCTCCATCAGAGAAATGTCGAGGGCGGCCTGTGATTGACAGAAAGAGAAAGTTTTGGACACAGATCTGGCCCATGATTCTGAAGAGTTGTTTCAGGATCTCAGTCAACTTCAAGAGGCTTGGCTAGCTGAAGCCCAAGTTCCTGATGATGAACAGTTTGTCCCAGATTTCCAGTCTGATAACTTGGTGCTTCATGCCCCACCTGCAACCAAGATCAAACGGGAGCTGCACAGCCCCTCCTGTCATCCTGTAGCCACGAGCAGGCTCTAGGTGCTAACTATGGAGAAAAGTGCCTCTACAGCTATTGTGCCTATGATAGGAAGCCTCCCTCCGGGTTCAAGCCATTAACCCCTGCCCCAGCCAAGTCTGCCCCCGCCCTCGCGCACGCCCCTGCGGCTGGCCCAGTACCAGGCCCTGCCCTCCCCCCACTTGCTTCCAGAACCTGGACCACAGCAGCAAACCTTTGCGGTCCCCTGGCCACCACATCAGCCCCTGCAGATGCCAAAGATGATGCCTGAAAACCAGTATCCCTCAGAACAGAGATTTCAGAGACAACTGTCTGAACCCTGCCACCCCTTCCCTCCTCAGTCAGGAGTTCCTGGAGATAATCGCCCCAATTACCACCGGCAAATGTCAGAATCCATTGTCCCTGCAACTCCCCCACCCCCTCAGGGATTCAAACAAGAATACCATGATCCACTCTATGAACATGGAGTCCCAGGCATGCCAGGCCCCCCAACACATGGGTTCCAGTCACCAATGGGAATCAAGCAGGAGCCCCGGGATTACTGTGTTGATTCAGAAGTGCCCAACTGCCAGTTGTCCTATATCAGAGGGGGGTATTTCTCCAGCAGCCATGAAGGTTTTTCATATGAAAAAGATCCCTGGTTGTACTTTGATACTTGTGTTGTTCCTGAGAGACTGGAAGGCAAAGTCAAGCAAGAGCCCACCATGTACCCAGAGGGGCCCCCTTACCAGAGGCGAGGTTCTCTTCAGCTGTGGCAGTTCCTGGTTACTCTGCTGGATGACCCAGCCAATGCCCACTTCATTGCCTGGACGGGCCGTGGCATGGAGTTTAAGCTGATAGAACCTGAGGAGGTTGCTCGGCGTTGGGGCATCCAAAAGAACCGGCCAACCATGAACTATGACAAGCTCAGCCGTTCTCTACGCTATTACTATGAAAAGGGCATCATGCAGAAGGTGGCTGGGGAGTGATAGTCTGTAAGTTTGTGTGTGACCCGGATGCCCTCTTCTCCATGGCCTTCCCTGACAACCAGCGTCCGTTCCTGAAAGCAGAGTCTGAGTGTCACCTCACCGAGGAGGATACCCTGCCCCACCCAACCTGGCCTACCTCCTGGACCTGGACCGCTGCGGCAGCCTCGCCTACGCCAAGGGCTTTGCTTATTAAGTTTCCGAGTGGCTGAGTGGCCAGACCCTAGAGCTAGCAGTTCCCATTCAGGCAAACGAGGGCAGTGGTTTTGTTTGTGTTTTTGGCTGTTCCTAAAGCTTGCCCTTTGAGTATTATCTGGAGAACCCAAGCCGTCTCTGGATTGGCATCCTCAAAGACAGATACCTTGGCTGGGGAGTGGGAACAGGGAAAGGGCAGAGAAACCACTAAAAGGCTGGTGCCTCAGTTCTGATCCTGACAAGGTTTCTGGAGAGAGATTGCCGTGGAGCCTCCTTCCCATGGACAATATATATGCAAAGCAATACCTTGTTCAGGGTAGTGCCCACAAACCAGGACAGAGTGTGTGACAATCTGCATTGATCGTGGGCTACTAATTGCCTTTACATAGAAGGGCTCTGATTTGCATAATTTATTGAAACAGAAATGACAGACCCATAGAATAGTAGGCTAAGAAGCTGGGAAGGCTCAGACCGTGAAGGGTTAAAAAGTCTATCTTCAAATTGGGAGAGCTCTTCTAGCTCGAGCTGCAATGTTTCCCCTCGGTCTAGAAAGAAGGGGGGAAAGTCAGAACAGCTGTTCCCCACTCCAGGGTTCTCAAATACTAAACCGTTGCGACTCTTGGGAACCTTCGAGCCATGTGGTCACCAAGTAGAACAAGCCCCCTTTCTCTTCCCAGTCACACAGCTGTGTGTGTGGACGGCTTTCATTTTAGAAGGGTGATTTATACTTTTTTTTTTTTTTTGATTTATACTTTTGACAGTATTTTGTTTTGCTTTGATTCGGGGGATTGTTTTGTTTTGGTGGTTGTTTTGGAAAACCAGTTTATAAACTGATTTTTGTAGTTTTGGTATTTAAAGCAAAAAACAACAAAAAAAAAGCCAACACACAAACCTTTTGGTAACTGTGCACTGCGTCCTAAGCAGGGCAGTGCCGACTGATGACGCTGCAGCTTGAAAGGGGCTTTGCTGGGAGCGCCCCCTTAGCCGTGCACAAGCCCATTCTATTGCCTGCTTTGTGCTGTCTGCACCAGACAGCCTGATGGAACATTTGCACCTGAGTTATACATTTTTGAGGTGTGCAGGGCAGCCCGGACACACCACTTGATTCTATGTGTATAGTTCCTCGTGTTTTCTAACATGCCCTCTCTGGAAAGCATATGTACATTATACATGTCATGTCCATTTAAAACCTGGCCACCTGGCGGGAACCCTGGGGATTTCTCCCCGGGCATGACCAATGACAATTTCCATTTCATCCATTTGTTTCGTTTCCTTTTTTTTTTTTTTTCTTCAATTCTTGGACTTTCAACCCCGCATATGATTCAATAGGGTTTGAGATGTACATGTGACCCTGACAGGTAAAACAGTGCTAGCATTTGAGTTTCCTACCACCTTAAAAAAAAAAAAAGTTTACTATGATTACTGTATTATATCAGAAAAGTTTTAAACCACCTAGCTAAAACTGTGTGAAAGTTGGCCTCAAAATGGAGAAGTCCTTAGAAGTGGTGATGCCTTGCTGCCCACTCTGCTGATAGGATTGCTTCGCTGATAG